TGACTTTGTCAGCGTGTCCCCCTGCTGCTGGCTGCTGCCGTCTTGCTTTGCTGTGCTGTAGAGTGAGCATGGCAAGGAGCTGCAATGCTTCTCACCACACAGCACAGGAGCAGGACAGACTGCACCAGCTCTTGGCAGAAGGGAAAATGACTTAGTCTCACACCCACCTGAGCAGATCATTTCAGATCTGAATTGGGCTAACAACTTAGCCCCAAACAGGTCTCTGCTCTGTGGTACCTACTGGGCATGTATGACGGGGCGCCTCAGCCCTGCACTGGAACCCCCCCCCAAACGCTGGATCGGGAATGTCAAGAGAGGCAGAATCCCGGATGCCAGGGCGGGGTATTTAAAAGTTGCTAAGGAAGCCCGAGGGGAAGGAGGAGCTGCAGGAGAGGAGTGACGGTGACCGGAGACTGAGGAAGGTGAACACCAAAGCAAGCGATGCATGGACAACCAGGGTGAGCTTTAATCCGGGTCCACCGGGTGGACATGGATGTGGAACTAGGGAAGAAGTGACTTAGGGCAGGGTTGTGGACCCCGTGAGTGGGGGAGTTTAGGGGCTACAGCCCCCTCCACTGAGTAGGGACCTAGGTCCCTACCTTAGGGCCCTGAGCTGGGGTTCAGAGAGAGGGAGGGCCTGAACCCACCTTCCCCAGTACCCCGAATGCTAAACTGGCCTTGTATGGGTAGGCACCCATCCAGGGTGACCCGCATAATACAAAATAAAACAAACCGTGCAACAGTTACTGGGCACAAAGGAGTAAACTGGTGTTTGGGAACAGACGAGAGTGGGAAAGACTCGAACCCCACAAGGGGAACACATAACACATGGTGGGCTGTGTCTAGACTGGCCAGTTTTTCTGAAAAATCAGCCGCTTTTCCGGAAAAACTTGCCAGCTGTCTTCACTGGCCGCTTGAATTTCTGCAAAAGCACTGACTTCCTACTGTAAGAAATCAGTGCTTCTTGTGGAAATACTATGCTGCTCCCGTTCGGGTAAAAGTCCCTTTTGCGTAAAGCTTTTGCGCAAAAGGGCCAGTGTAGACAGCTCAAATTTGTTTTCTGCAAAAAAGCCCTGATCGCGAAAATGGCAATCGGGGCTTTTTTGTGGAAAAGCGCATCTAGATTGGCACAGATGCTTTTCCGTAAAAAGAGCTTTTGCGGAAAAGCGTCTGTGCCAATCTAGATACTCTGTTCCGAAAATGCTTTTAACGCAAAACTTTTCCGTTAAAAGCATTTCTGGAAAATCATGCCAATCTAAATGCAGCCGTGGAGAACGTGAGTACGTTCCCGGCCCCGAGGTAGGGGTCAGTAATGAGATAAGGAGATACATGAGGGATTAACAATATACTTATCACCAGGGAAAAATGGAAGTAAATAAGATCCTGGAGTGGCTGGTGGAAAACCAGAAACAGCAGCAGCAACAGCAGACACAGGCGCTGCAACAAATCTTGAACCAGTTTCAAGAACAGCAGGGTCAGATGCTCAGAGAACTCAAAGAAGCCCCGACCGGTAGTTGGAAGCCCCATGGCAGGAGAGGGGGTAGGAGCTGTAGGATCACAACTGCCGATACGCCTAACCAAGCTAGGACCAGAAGACGACCCAGAGGCGTTCCTGATTACATTTGAGAGAGTGGCCACGGCTGCCAAATGGCCACAGGAACACTGGGCGACGCTCCTGGCCCCCTACCTCTCTGGGCCGGCCCAGCTGGCCTATAGGGGCATGTCGACCCGTGATGCCTTATGTTATTACAAGGTCAAGGAGGCAATCCTTGACCAACTCGGCGTCACACCTGAGACTCATCGCCGAAGGTTCCGGGAAGCCCACTACAACCTGCAAGAGCATCCACGAGTGGTGTCGCAACGCCTTAGGGAAGCGGGGATGAGATGGCTGGAACCGGAAAACAAGACGGGGGTCCAGGTGGCTGACCTGGTCATCCTAGAACAATATGTGAGGATCCTGCCCATCGAAGGCCAGCAGTGGGTATGGCAGCACCTCCCGGAAACACTGGAAGAGGCCATAACATTGATGGAGCACTTCATCGTAGCAGAGGGGGTAGACGGGAAGGGGTCAGCCAGCGGCCCGAGGGACGCCAAGAAGACGGAATCTTCCACCCTGAAAGCCGCAACTACCCCTTGCCAAGGATACGGACAAAAGCCTCCGTTAGGCCCTATCCTGGAGAGGAAGTTGGCGCCCCAGTGGAGTAGACAGGCGAGCGGAGCTGGAACCGCGGGGGAGCAAGAATATGGCCCAGAGTGCAGTCTGCAAGGGGAAGGGGCCCAGAGAGGGGCCTGCTACCAGTGCGGCCAGGAGGGGCACTTTAAAAAGGACTGCCTCCTCATGGACTGCACATTTGGTCAACGACAGACAGAGGAGGCAACCCAGGACGAGCCGAGCCGCGCACAGGTAATGCAGAAAATAAGGGTTAACGGAAGTTAGGTGGAGGCTGTACTAGACTCAGGGTGTGGACAAACCACCATCCGAAGGGACGTTATACACCCGACAAAGCCAAGGGGTCCCCGAGTATACATGCAGTGTGTACACAGGGACATCCATTCATACCCCACAACTCGAGTAAAGATAGATGACGGGGAGGTGGAGGCGATATGCGAGGTAGCGGTGGCTCCTAAATTAGCATATCGTACCCTGCTGGGGCGAGATTGGCCAGGCTGTTAAGGAAGTGGGGGGACGCCCACACCGACAAGGAGGTAGGGATCCAAGGGGCTCATACCTTCGCAGCCCACGGCGAGGAGGTTAGAGAACCACCACTGGAGGAAGAGCCCGAGCAGGACGAACGGCCCACCCCACGACGCCTGGAGCTGGACGAAGGGGACTTCCTCTCCTTGAAACGAGAGGATCCGACACTGAAATCAGCATGGGACCAGGTACAAGGCGGGGAGGGGACACGAAAAGGGGGCGTGCCGAACCCACCACTCGGGCCGTGATTTTTGGTAAGAGACGATTGCCTGTATAGGGTAATGCAAGGGGACCTCGAAGGGAAGAAAGAGTCCAGCTGCTAGTACCCCGACCCTACCGTTGGAAGGTCTTAGAGTTGGCTCATGACCACGCTTGGTCAGGACACTTAGGGACCGATAAGACACAACAGAGGGTGTTGCAGCGGTTTTATTGGCCAGAGATGGTTGAAATTTTTCAAAATATTTTTCCCAAAGCAAAAATCCATGGGGTTAAATGAGCATGTTTTAACATGAAAGGAGGCCTGGGGTAATGGCCAGTTCAACCCTTTTAGCACATTAACTCATAAGAGTACTTGCCACGTGGACTTATGCTCTTCAATGTGAAGAGTAGCAGCCCTTGTTAAGTTTTAAGGCCAAAAGGACCATTATGACCATTGAGCCTGACCTCTTACGTAACATAGATTGAGTGAGGCTCTTGGATCTAGCCTAATTTCTATTCTAGGTTATGTAAATGCAGATGTTTATAACAAACAGGGAGAGCTGACTTTGCTGAGATACTATCCCAATGAAGGAATTGACTAGAACACATTCCTAGTATTACATCAGGGAAATCTCCACAGAATAAATGAGACTAAACTAGAATAAGAAGTGTACTGACTACCTGGGAAGTCTGATGGTTGGTGAAGAGACACAGAGCTTTGGATCTTAGAACTAGAGCTGCTCAAAACATGGGAAATTCTGAGGATTTGGGTCAATTAGGAACAAAACTTAAGTTCCATAATTTTCTGAGGAAAGAAATCATCAGGGTTTCGGGGGAAAACTCAATTCTTTCTGTTGCACCTTTTTCCTGGGTGGCAAAAAACAGCCCCAGTCTCTCAGGCACTGCTCCCAGGAAGGGAGAGAGCAACCTGGGAAGTCTCACACCATAAGCCCAAGAGTTAAGAAGCCCTGAGAGCATGTGAGCTACCAGGGTCCTGCCGCAGAGCAGGAAATCTAGATGCCCTGAAACTCATTTTTCACCTGTCTGCTAGGGTGGCAGCTGCCTATGGGCATCAGCTTGCATGATCAGCCCCACTGTTAGTTCATTTTAAACACAGTACCGGGTGTACACTTCCAGTCCAGCGCTCTTGGAACTTGATTGGTGCTGAACCAGAGAGTTGGCCGAATCATGGGAGGTGAATGTTGTCTAGCAGCATTACCAACCCTTCCACTGCTTACGAGGCTCTTAGACGACATTTAGGGGTAAATTAGAGCTGAAGAACAGCACAGAACACTGAGAGCCAG